TGTACTCTATTTTTACGATGTCAACCAGAGTGACACATTGAAAGTCGCTCTGGTCTCTTCTTGACAACAGAGGAACTACAGAAACAGTTCTCCTTCACAGATACAGCCGTGCCGCTGCTAAACTATCCACTTAGCCCTAGGGCGAGACAATAATGAGTGACAACTAAATTCAAGTCAGCAAAGAGTTGTAAATCATTAATTTTTCCTTGCTCTTCAGGCTTCACACACAAAACAAGTTTAGGGTTCACGGATTATCGATTGGCATGCTAGCGTCGCCAGCTACATCATGCACGTGACAGGCGCGTGCATATACTGTCCCACACAATCGCGTTAATCGGTCAGTGCTCAAATCGCATTTTCCCATCAATATCACTCACTTTCAACTCTACGGGATTCATTACGGTTGGCTCAAACTGCCTGAATTTTTGAATCCACACGCACGAAAGACGTTCCAAGACTTCCACCGTTCGTATTTTTTCAAACGAGTTCCGGGTTTTCCAGTAACTTTGGCCAAAGTTCGGCTAAAAAAACAGGGGGAGCCGTTGCGTTTCCGTAAAATACTGAACGGTAGAAGGATAGCCAAGGTCGAGAGCAAAACAACAAGCCATTATTTGTCAAAATCGAACAAGAAACGGCTCAGCGCATCTATTTTCCGTGCACGCGCGCGCGTACTTTGGCCGACAAGGTGTGGAGAATTTCTGAAGAAGAAGAATAACAAGAGCAGCAGCGCTCGGAACAGCCGTGCTGGATACTTCCAATCCCGACGATGGAGCGTGTTGGCTGTCGTGAGCTGCTGAAACGACCATGACATTTCTTTTTCTTTGTATACCCTAGATATCTTGACGTGCCCTAGCTCAGTTTCGGCCTCTTTACAGGAAGAATATTTTCTTCCATGGCATCAGCGGCCAAACAGCAAGAAGAGCAACAGATCGAGATTTACAGGGCAAACAAAGGATGCGTGCAGCTACATCTAGTCAGGTTCGATGCAGCTGCGCTTTGCCAGAACCTCAGCAGATAAGAGAAGACGACAGAGTGTCTCAGATGGAGCTGGATCTTGCGCCAAGACCGCCACCGCCGCCATCATCAAGTCCAGGTCAGTCAGAAAAATGCAAAGCGCGAGTGAAGTGAAGCCACTGAAGACAAGGAAAAATTCAAAAAGTACGCTCTCCGGCTAGACTTCGAGTCGATATTTTTTTACTTCGATAGGCGCTGTCGCGGCCTGTAGCGCGCGTCCATAATCCAAAATGGAGGCGCACGTGACGGGTGCTTTTAGTGGCAAGCCGTGAACCCTAAAGTTGAAAAAACCGAAACGGTCCGCAGTCTAGTCGTACAATGTGTGGTTACCGTACCGGCGCCGCGGTTCTGCTACTCGTGCTTATTAATTTTTTTTTAATATTATGCATGCACGTGGTCCACAGAATTTTTTATGAGTTCATGCTGTCCCTATAAATTCTGAACCAAAATTCTGCGAAATCCTGGTCTAAAAAATTGAAAGCTCTAAAATATACTGCAAATTTAGAAAGTCACAAGCAGGTTGGTTTGGCTGTGAAAATACATTGAAAGTCTCCAGAAAAAGCAGTTTTTTCTCTCTTTTCTGCAATATTCCGCGGGATTTTCAGAATTCTGCGGACACAACTGGATTCTGCGGAAATTCTGCAATCCACGGAATCGCGGAATTCACGGGGGACAGGTTCAAGTGCAAACCATGCTAAACCGCGGTATAGGCCTTGGCGGATAATGCCGGCAGAAAAATTGGCAGAATTCGGTACTTTTTCTGGTAAGTTTCATGCATGTTTGGTATGTGGATAAAGAAATGGAGCAGAATTCGAGGAATTGCCCGCCATAAGGTTTGTATGGTTCTGCCAATTTCGGTGCAAAAAAAGCAGAATCTGCCACCTTTTCGAGCATTATCCGCCAAGGCCTACCGCGGTACCGTACTGGCGCGCGGTACGGTAGCTAGGTACTAGGTACTACCATGAGTACATAACCCCCGAGAGTGTGCAACTCCACTATGGCCTAGTATGGGTGCTGCAATGCGCACTGTACACGGATTATCAGACGAATCCGGAACCTGTGGTTGACCGAAGCCGATCGATCATGTACAAATATTATTGCAAAGAAAAACGTGTGATGCGTCAAATACCGGTATTTGACGACTCCCTGGGGCAGTCCCACAGGCCTAGGGCCTTTTTACAGGGTACCCTATGAATTGTTGAATAGATGAACGGAAGTTTCTGAGCAAGGAGATTGTGCGAATATCAGCAGGAAGTGCGTTCCAACGATCGGAACCAAGAAAGCTAAGGTCCGTTGCACACTACGTACAAAAACTCATATAAGCTGCGCATACTTGTATGTTCCCATGGAAATTTTTTTTTTTTTTTTTTTTTTTTTTTTTTTTTTTTTTTTTCACGGCCAAAGTTTATAATACCAGAAAAATAATAATATGTAGCGCAAAATAAAGAGAAGGAAAATAATAACCGGTCAAGCGCTAAATACAAACAGAAGAAAAAGAAATCATAAGCCAATACGCGCTAAACTGCGCTTAAATTATAATGAAGGGAGAAAAACTGGAATCCGCGGAAATTATAACATACAAAATGATACAGAGAAAAGGGGAAACAGACAGGTTGTCTACAGATGACACTCGGAGACAGCAAGTGTGGCAGAATATGCATGAGGGTCATACCTGCTCGACTTGTGGCGATGCCCACGAAGGCATGCCACGGCCGCCTTCACGAGAGCAAAGGACAGCTGGGCTCTGATCAAAGCCATTGCCACAGAGAAAGGCTCACCATTCTTCTCAGACTTGATGCCTGCAATGCGGCCAAAGAGAGTGGAGGCTGCCTTCCCTTGGCCACCAGTCGTACTGAACACCACGGGGATGAAGGAAGCGTGCTCAACGTTGAGAATGCGACTCTCATAACTCCTCCGTTTCTCCTCTTCGTGCTTTCTGTAGCTGCCAGCGATCGTTGGTTTCCGATTTGAGGGGGCAAATGGGTTGAAAACCCGGACATCTAGAAAGGTCCTCTCAAACCGTCCACCGTGTAGACCGCTGACAACTACATCCAGCCGAGCTTGTTCTGCCGTGATGGTGGACCGCAGCGGAAAGCGCTCACCGGTCACAGGCTGGAGGTGCGGCTCAACATGAACATCATGTGCGACGTCGCGTAGCAGTGCTGCTGTTAGGTCTCGGACCTCGTTGTGCCGTAACGAGGGATAACCACCGATGGCACATGACATGGCATGGGTGGTCGAGAATGGCTTTCCACACGCGCATGTTGCCGGTAAGCGATCAGGATCCCATCCATACCTGAGGCATATGGCATCGCGGAAGGCGCCCTTGTGCAGGGTGAAGCCATGCCTTCGCAATGGCCGACATGTCAGCCAACTTGAGGCGCCTTTCTCCGAGGCAAGCTGTAGGGTGCGTTGCAGGTCAGGCTCGAGTTGGGCCATCAGGGTGACGACATGGTCCTTCTCCTTCTTCCCAGCGGCTGTCCTAGCTGTTGCCTTCAGTACCCGCATCCGCCCTGAGATGCCTTCCATGGATGACTGCTGTTGGATGATGTTGTCAATGAGTGGATGGGTGATGGACAGAGAGCGCTGATGTTCATCGCTCAGCTGACTGGGGTTAACAATACCGAGACCACCGAGACGACACGGAAGGTCAAGCACAGCGCGGATCACCGAATTCGGTGGGTGACGCCCTGTCAATGCCGGAATGAAATCATTGCGGATCACATCCTCAAGTGGCTGTAGCAGATCTGCTGCTCCAGGTACAGTACGAACCAGAAATGACCATTTGTGCTTGAGGCCTTGGCTAAATGCAGTGTAGGCGGCTTGCGGTTGGCTAAGTGCATAGGTTGCGAGGCGCTTGACTTCTTTGCACCATTGCTCTGCCTTTTGAGCGACGTACTGATTGCAATACTGCTCTGTGCCCAGGACAGCTCCAAGATGTCGGTGACCGTCCGCGGTTACGCGAACTTCAGTGTCGGCGAACACTTCTCGCGCGATGTTGAGGAACTGTGGTTTGACGAGTAACACAGACTTTGCAGCATTCGTATAGTAGCCGTAAGCTGGACCACGCGTTTCCAGGATAGACCACCATTCTCTGAGACGAATTATCTTACTTGCAGCTGTAGAATCATCAGCGTACCACGCTTGTACGGCGTTGGCTGCAGCGGCTTCGCGGATTAATGGCAACGTCCCTAGAGCATACATCACCATGGCGAGGGGATCCCCCTGCGTTGTGCCCTCAGCAGACTGAAGGGTCTCCCCGTCGACAAACAGCTTTGCGGGCTGTCGGTACGTGTTGGTAAGGACTACGGCGAGTGCGGGGCATAGGTGTTGAACATTCAGGAGACACACAGAACGGTTTAAGCGATTGAACGCGTTGGAAGCGTCTGCAAAGAGAATACCCTCTGTGTCGTCCTGCTGGAAGATTTCTCTCATGGCATGGATTGCTGCCTCTATGCCTGACTCTTGGCCCCCACAGAGCTGGAGACAGCCGACCGACTGGATTATGTCAGCCTTGGTGACTTTGAGGATGGCTTTGCTGATAATCCGTCGCACAACCTCACCGACACCAATCGGCCTGACTCCGGGGTCCTTATCAAGGGCGATGAGGCGGCAGGCAAGGAAGGCATCGAGTGAGGATGGGTCAATGTGTTCTGATGCCAGCCGTCTTGCACATTGGGCTAACGCATCGCACAGGGCATCAGATGCCGTCCTGAAACCTGTACACAAGTGGCGCCATGCAGCAGCGTCCATTCCTGAGGGGCCTGCTGCACCTTGTGTGTCAAGCGCAGCCTGACGGATGATTTCCCTGTTGATAGCCGCAAAATATGTTGGATGCGGCGGTGGTGGGGGTGCGTCTGGTATGACAGCATCTTCTTGAACAGGCCCCGCTGGTGGGTGTTTGTCTTCCAGAATTTGACGAACAGTCTTGCCATCAATTTCTGCGCTCAGCTTATGCACTCCTTTGGCGCCATCATCATCAAGAGTTCGAAGGCTGCTGGCAATTTTTCCCTCGTGAACCAGATTGGCGAATCGCCGAGCGTCGTCATGAGGTGACATGGAAATCAAAGGAATGTGGCGGGAAAATCAAGAAGTTGCTTTTTCCTTTTCAGCAAGTCGCGTACCCCTGTAGAAAGCAGCTTATATCCTGCTTTTTGCTTGTTTGGCAGCTTTCCTTCTCCGGGTGAGTAAACATTCCTGAATCTTCTCTTTTGCTGGTCTTGAAAGCTTTTGAACAAGGACACAGTGGCGATGGCCACCTTCCGCCTTCCAGTGCTGCCAACCTTCCGTATTTTCCGTATTTGTACGGAAAATCACTCCTTCGTCCGCAGTGAGGTATTTGAGCAAAAATGGTACGGAAAATTGTATAGGATCGATCAGCTGGAGACGCACTAGAGGGCAATCGTTCTCTTCACTTTCTTTGCCCGCTGCTACCACTAGATATGGCATGTTCTGTATTTCTTTCCTTGGCGCTGATAGGTGGAATTCTCTGCCTGTCTCGTGTCGTCAGGTTGAGCATCTATCCGTTTTTGTTCCGCTCTGTAAAGAGCACTTAGGGTTCCCTGTAACAAGACGGCAACGTCTGTAGGGCCTTCCCTATCAAAATAATAAATTTCACTACTACTACTACTACTAGCTACAGCTATGTTTGTAGAAGCATGGCAAGCGCCAACTGAGCGATGAATATCCCTGTGCCAAAGCGAGTCTGCCATGTTTCGACTAGATGTAGCACAAAATAACACGTATCGGTACCAGTCACACATGTTTTGCACTAGCAAATTTTGCCACCGACAAGAATGCGAGTGTCAAAAAAGCACAATACAAGCCAGGGAGTAGTACAATCCTCCCTGATAGAAGCAATGCACAAGGCATTTCATTGGTAGTACGGAAAAACGCTGCAAATACGGAAAATCAGAAGTCGCAGTACGCAAAACAGACCCAATTGGTTGGCAGCACTGGCCTTCTACCGTCATCCCAGATATTCATTGCTTCAGGTGTGTGCACGACTTCTTTCTCGATCTCCTCGACAAAATCAAGGTTTGAACTGAAGAAAAAAGCAGTAAGTAAACCACTGACTCCATCGCATGCGCAGGGTGCGCCAGTCCGCCAAAGACTAAGTACAAAGGTCGAAGGTCATGAATAGCACAAAAGGACAGCAAAAATTGCCGTGCATCCTCGTTGTCATGACGATTCACGTAAACAACAAGTGAGCTATGTGCAGTGTGCACTGAACAAAACTCATGAGCAACTTATACTGGACCGCGCTCGTAGACTCTTATACGTAGTGTGCAACGGACCTATAGCTACATGCAGGAAAGTTGCCTTGTACAAGGGTTGGCACCCTGCCTGAAAGGATTGGGCAGCTTTTTAGGCTTCCCGCCAGATTCTTGTTGTTGTCTTGGAAACTTCTATGTAAATGTGACTTATAGGCTGTTTTGTACCTAGTCTGAAGAGGGCCTAAGGCCCTCTGCAGACTACGTACATAGAACAACCAGTACAAAATCACATAAAACCTAAAAGGCAACATTTTTCCAAGCCTGCATTCAGACTACACATTAACATGCAATAATACAGGCAACCTTTGACCCCACGCTATTGCGCAATGGACCTGGGATGTGTGAAAGCAGCCGGCAGTCGTACAAAGTTTGTACATTTGTACGATGGTTGGTGAAAGTACGATAAATGCAGGAAAGTTGCCTTGTACAAGGGTTCGCACCCTGCCTGAAAGGATTGGGCAGCTTTTTAGGCTTCCTGCCAGATTCTTGTTGTTGTCTTGGAAACTTCTATGTAAATGTGACTTATAGGCTGTTTTGTACCTAGTCTGAAGAGGGCCTAAGCGAGTATAAACATGTTGTAAATCACTGCTGCAAGGAGCATTGCGTCATAAATAATGACGTCAACTTGAAATTCTGTCGGGACAACAGGGTATGTGGGAGTTGCACACTCTGGGGGGTTATGTACTCTTGGTACTACACTGTTTTCAAACATTTTCACAATAATCATTGCGTGAAACACCACATTCTTCAAGAATCATCCGGATATTCTCGAAACCCCCCCCCCCCGCGCGCGCGCGCGCGCGCACACACACACACACACACACACGAATAAACTTGGCAGCAAGGTACAGCAGAGGATAGCTCGCAAATAATTGTATTTTCTTTTCCGAGTACTTGCACATGCATGCGAATAAATCAATGCTTGGTTGGTTAGATGGCGCATGGCAGATACTAGAGCAGGAATTATCTAAAGGATAGCATTCTAGAAATCAAGCGGAAGAGCATACTGCAGCCCAGTGGTTTATCAAAGGTATAGCGCAAATTAGGATGTGAATGATCATAGGTGCACGCACGCCCGCACGCACACACACACGCACACACACACACACACACACACACACACACACACACACACACACACACACACACACACACACACACACACACACACACACACACACACACACACAACGATGTGTAAACGTAAAGTGGCGGGCGACAACGACAAGGAGTGAAAATCGTTAGCTTTGTGAAACATGAAGCAGACAAGCTGGTGATGTTAAAAATAAAGAACCGAAGAAAAGCGGACAGGGGGGGGGGGGGGTGAGACAGGAAGATCAGAAACCACGGGCAATAGAGTTCATGCATGCCTGGAAGTTAGATGGGGGTGGGGGAGGGAGGGGTGCGAGGCAGGTGAATACTTGTCAACTGAAGGCATGGTGGTGAGGAGGGGGGGGGTAGGATGAAAATAGAAACAAATAATTTCTCAACAGGGCCACGATACGGAGGGGGTTTCACCTTTGATGTCTTTGCTCCTGTATGCAATGCATACAAGACAAGAGCATAGCAAAAGGGATAGGGAGAAAGGGTGAACTGCGTGTGTACAGCGAGCATATGATCAAGGTTAAGTTTCTTTACAGAGGCAACTTGTGCGCATGGCTGAGTGCGACACTCTCACCCGGATGCCGTGCTGGTGCCGTCGACGAAGCTGCACAACAGAAGATCAGTAGCGTTTGTCGAGAGTGTCTGCCATGCCGCCGGCACACTCCGGTCAGTTCTTCTCTTTGAGCTTCTTCTTGTCGGCGTCCTTGGACTTTTCCTTGCAGCTGCCCGACTTCTCCCTCTCCTTGTCCTTGGTTTTCTCCTTGTCCTGGAAGACTTTACTGACGCGCACCAGCGGGCTGATCCCTCTGCTACGCGTGCTCTTCTGCGAGCCCTCACCGGACGAGGACAGGCTATCCTGGCGTGAGCGGGTATGCCGAGGTGTGCTTTCGCTCAGCGCACGCTCTTTTTGTACGTCGGAGGACGTTTGCCGAACGGGCGAGGACGAGCGAGATGACGTTGTCGACGAGGGCAAGTTGGGCGTGGAGTCGGAGCTGCAACGGATGGAGCAAGCAAACAGACACACGGACATGGTAGTGCCAGCATGTGCATGTGTGTGTGTGTGTGTGTGTTGGGGGCAATGCACACACTACACCTGTGGCCATGACTGGAGTCTGTATGCGGTGCATCAGCGGTTTATGCGCCCGCCCGGCGCCCGGGGGGGGGGGGGGGGGGGGGGGGGGGCAAGAACGTGTTCAAGCTTTTACAGAAAATGGAAAAATCTGTGTCATGTGAAGACTGTGTAACCGTGACGTCATTGAGTACTAATCTATTGTCATTGAGTACTAATTTACTGGGCCGGATCTAGTAACGGTCTGGAACGAGATGAGAAACACAACATGTTGGTGGAACTTCCATTTCAGCATGCTTCCATAGGTGACGACTCCCCCAAAACCAGCAGAAATACCGGTACACAGCAACGGGTGGTTTCATGCGTAAACGTGCCAGTTTCACAGGTTTTAAAGGAGGATGTACACATGCACAGTAAAACCTGTCAAGGCAACCACCTGTCCAAGAAGACCACTACAACCAGGACCAAGGCATGTTATTTCCCGTCAAAGACCCTGGATAAGGAGACCACCTGGTAACAGAGACCACCGTTTTGAAGGTCCCTTGAGCGGTCGTCTTAGACAGGTTTAACTGTAGCTCGCTGGCAACCAAGCCGGGTTGCACACACACACTGATGTCTACACTATTCACCGCACCGACTGATAAGCAAACGTATGGGCGCACAGGAGGTCGACTTACTGTATGACACCATCGATACTGCCATCCGACAGTGAGCCCACACTCTGCACAAAAGCAGAACAGAACAGGCAGCAGGGACGCGTGGATGAGACAGGGCAGAGAGCACACGAAGCTCTGCATGATAAACTACCACAAGGGGTACACGCCTGACCAATGCTCAGCAACGATTGCATAGGATCGAAGCAGGAAATGCAGCATGCAATGCAGGGGACCCACTCTGCATGGAATTGCTGTATCCGGCACCGGAACACTGGAGCAGTCTCACCCCTCAATCACATGTGTCGTAGAATACCGTAATGTCGCGTATTAAAGCCGGACTTTTTCCTGTAGAAGCCGATGTCAGGGCTAGGCTTCTATTCACATCAGGCTTCTATTCAAACCAGGTATTTCTATGTGTGTCAACCAGGGGTGTCGGAAGGTATTTTAGTGCGGCACGGTCAGCCATCTGAAGTACAATTTACTTGTGGGGGGGGGGGGGGGGTTGCTGAACCGACATTCTTGGAAATTTAGAACCCAGATCAGTGTTTTAAATATTTTTATTTATTGATTTACAAGGTGCCGGGGGCAAAAGTGGTACGGTCAATACCAGCACCATAGTGACCGTACCGTACCGTGTCCGACGCCCCTGCCCCTGCCCCTGGTGCCAACACTAAAACCAGGCGTAGGTGCTGGGAGTGTATCTTGAAAATCAGGCTTGCATTTAAAACAGGCCTGCATTTAAAACCGGCTTTAACACGAGACACTACGGTACGTGATTGTACAATCGTAGATGCAGCAGGTTTGCAATGCTGTGCAAGCCGAGCAAACACCAGCACAGTAGTGTAGAGTCGCACAGTTCACACGCCATCACAGGCCAAAATGCCCATACTCACACATACACTCCCCCCACCCACCCACCTTTGACCTTTCGACGCCCATCGCCTCCATGATAGCAAGGCTACGGCAGAAGCCGTAGCAACTTGTGCTGGGATTGCACCATTCAACAGCTTGCAAGGCTGAAGAATTGACCGTCACTATTCAGCCTGGTCTACACCGTACAGCTATTTGAAGTGACTTTTTCTGGCCAGTGAATCCCTCCCACACCCACGCCCACAAGCACTCACACACCCTCTTGGCACTTACCATTCTCTGCACGGGTTGTGATAGTCCACTGCCGTACTGCTTGAATGCTGAACGGCTCTTTAGTGGATTGCCACTGAGCAGGAGAGAGGGGGACAGAAAGGAGTAGAGAGCCACCCAGAACATGTACAGTGGATCAACAAATAAATACAATACATAGGCATGCACATGCACATACGCGAGCGCATACACACACACACACACACAGACACAGACACACCCACAGACACACCCACAGACACACACACAGACACACACACAGACATACACACATGAATGCCACACACCCACACCCACCAGCAGCCAGCCCCACAACAAAAACAACAGTGCAACGTCCAGCCAGCAGTGAAATCGATTTTACTCACGATCGTTTCTTGAGTGCGTTGAACAGCCCTGTGGACTGCGAGGGTGCTGCAGTGACAACGGCCGGGGCATCAGAATAGCCCGTGGGTGAAACCAACGGTGGGCTGGGTATCCGGTCATTGTTCTCCTCACACTCCTGGCTATCAACTGCTCGTGGCGGTGTCCTGGAATTGCAGAAAACATCAAGATCGTATCAGGGTCACGCAACTCAAACACTCAACACAGTCTCTTCGCTGCATACGCAACTAGACAAATCTCACGCTTTGCTGGAGACTCGGTCAGACTGAGTTTTCAGCATCCGTAGGGACGCCACCACCCTGCAAAGATCTACATGTAAGGCGCAGACGCAACTCGTAAAGCGGTGGGGTGTGAGTAGATCAGCCCACCAGCAAAGTGGTCAAAGACCGAAAATCCCACTCACGGCGTCCGCGTAACTAAACGTGTCCACCAAATGTGTTGACAAGTTAGTAGACAGAACAACACACGAGTCTCTAGCTCTCCGAACAACACACGGGTCTTGACTCTCGAGCTCCTAACAACACACTGGTCTCGAGCTCCTAGCACGCTGATCTCACACTCTCATAATTATAACAACACACTGGTCTCGAGCTCCGAACAACATGCTGGTCTTGAATTCCCTGAACAACACCCTGGTTTTGAGCTCTCTACTGCACAAGCTTGCCATAACAAAGTGCACGCAACTCCACGTGCACTTACCGTAATTTCGCGTATGAAAGCAGGTGCTTACGGCCGTATAAGCCGGGGCTCAAACCATGCTTCTATTCAAGTTATGCTTCTATTCAAAACATGCTTCTATTCAAAACATGCTTCTATGTCAACATCATCAGTCTACACTGTGCAGTGCACACTGCCACACATGTACGTGCACATGTACTTTGCAGAGAGCGGCTTCTATTCAAATCGTGCTTCTGTGTCACGGTGCGCTTCAAAAAATCGGCTTCTATTCAAGTCATGCTTCTATACAGGTCATGCTTTTACACGCGACACTACAGTATGCTGTTTTTCTGCTCAAATTATCCGATCACCGACTTAGCAAATCGAAACGCTTTAGACCAAGACTTGTTCAGAGACATCAAATCCCCAACAAGTAATGCAGTACTTCGAAGTGCAAGTAGTACGTGTCACGAGATAAGGATCATGGCGACCATCACACAAACTTCAGAAACAAACACTGACAAAACTTCCGCCTATTTGGAATCAAACTTCCTCAATGCACACGCTACGCACACATGCAAGTTTTAACCGGGCAGGTGACGCCTATCATGGGGAATCTCAAACGATAACAGAGAGGTTCATCTGCACGCTATTTTTTTGCTTGACGCGAAAGTTCAGCTCGCGTTATTTGGCTCCTGAGTTGGAAAACAACGCGAGTGACTTGCAGCTCACGTCGAAATTTGGAGTTTTATGCCAAATTTGACGTGAAATTGCGCGTCATGTCAAAAATAACATGCAGCTCAACCTCTCGAATGACACACACGCAGCTTTCTTACCTTCCACGAGACTTGGGCCGGAGCACTTTGAGCGCCTGGTTGAGCGATCTCGCTTTTCGCCGCGAATGTGACTCAATACACGCGGGACTGCTGGCAGTGCTTATCGTGTCGCCATCCATGCTGCCAGAGTCCGACGACATCGATATGTTCCTCTGCGAGCCGCCACCGTCGAAGCAGCCGAGCTGCTGGGATTCGTTCGGTGACATGAGTATGTCCTGTAGGCTGTCGTTGCTGTCTTCCAGCGCTGGTAGCCCGTCCACCTCGTCGGGCGAGATGTCCACAGAAATATGCGCCGTGTCCGCCAACTGTAACGGCTTGTCTCGTACACTCTCCGATGTTGATTTGCTGCATGTAGTCGGGAAGCAATACAAGGACGCATAGTTAGATAGGTGGGCAAGGACACGCACCCCCCCCCCCCCACACACACACAGTAGTACCAACTATAAACTGAACACAGCAAACAGCTCTATACTATAGTAATATACACTCTCACCTCATTTTTGCGGACTGTCCGAGACCGGGCATTGCCCTCAAGTCTAAATCTCATGCGCTTCGAAGGGGAAAGCTGTGCAGAGCGCATGCACGCCACGCCGTCTGATGATTACCCAGCGAGTGAAACCTTTTGTTTAAAGTTACAGCAAAACAGCCTGTTGTTTCCTGTATTTGTGTTCAAGAGAGTATCGTATTTCCCCGAGGATTCGTCGCACCCCCATTTTTCGAGGTCTGAGCCAAATTGTTTCAATATAATATTATTCACATAAGCAGCAAGGCACGCTCAATTGTACAACATCGCACCCACGTCTTTGCTCTTGAAGTTTAGTGTGAAAAGGTGCGACTTATCAGGCCCGGAGCAAGTTCCTGAGAGGTGGTGCGGCCCCAATTACAAGTTGGTTTTAGGACTGATTATTTCCCCTTGTCCAATTTCAAAATCCTGCAAGGATACATCTCTAGCTCAGTGCATCACAATCATATGTTCATTACATCTTTCAAATAATCAATTGCATACTGAGCAGCCCATGAACACTGGAATCAGTAAAAACTGGTACGGCCATGGCCGCACCAGCCATACCAGTGGCACCGGCCCTGCTTATGCATTGGGGAAATAGGGTAGTTCACAAAGATAGCCATAAGTGAGAATACCGTCTGAGGAAGATGCGATGCAGGTTCTTCTTGGCCTGGTTCAGGGAGGAGCGCTTGGCCGCCTTGCTCTCCTCGGCCGCACTCGACTCTGACACAACGGTGCACGAAGAAGACGAGGACACGCTGCCCGTCTCGACCGCACCGCCAACACAGGCGGTGTCTTCCTCGCACTCGGAGTCCGATTCCTGGCTGTTCGCAGCCGTGCGTACCCATCTGAATAGATTCAGGACAAAAGCAAACACAAGAATAGAGCGAGCATGCAGTGTCAGAACAAACAACACACACACACGCGTCTACTTCCTCCGGGAAAAAAACAATTCGGATCTAGAGGCTCAATCAGTACCCTGTGAAATGCTAGAGCCAGTCATGCCGGAAACTCTTGTGGGTATAAACAAGTCTCCGGAGGTCACTTTGCACTGTTTGCTGCGCATGTACATGTAAACTACCGAGCCAAGTCATGCTTAAATCTCTACAGTCGCTGCTCTGGATAATGGGAGATGCGCAAGCAGCTACAAGTCTCAAGCCTCTTGTACGGGCAAAATACCATCTTTACCAATACCGTAAAGTACCGCCAGAACGCCCCGTCTCGCGAGAGCGCCCTACCTTGATTTTACAGCCAAGGGAAGAAAATCGTATGGCAGGATGCTACTAAGTTTGTACGATGTGAGAACCTTTGTGTACTAAGGTCACACTTGGTATGCTTTTATGTGGCGCTCGAAGGTAAACTGGGTACGGATTGACTGCACAATGTGCAATGTATGTACAAGGTCCGTGTCGTATGACCTACAGACAGGAATCCACCTCCACAAGGCGGCCACGAAAGGACGAGATGGTGGGGCGCTCTGGCGGTACTTTACGGTAATAGAAATGCAACTAAAACCCAAAACAATTTTAAATTTAAAATGAAAAAACTCAAAGCAAATGAAAAGAACCCAGAGCAAATGAAAAGAACCCAACCAGCCGCACACGGAGCACACAAAAGGCAACAGCATAAATAAGTAAACTTCCTAAAAAAAAACGTAGCAGCTACACACTGGGTGGCTGGGTCCTCTTGGTTGTATTTGGTGAGGAGCCATCAACCATCATATAGTTTTACAAACTGCATGCGTTAGCTGTGGGATATTCATTCAACATCGAACCGAGCAGATGAGCTCTGAAGGTGCAAAAACAGCCGAGTACTTTTAAGTAGGGTGTGATCGAGATAAACAGAACCTATCATAAACTGGCATGGACAACCATGGTTGCTACGGATATGATGCTGATGATATTGCAAAGCCATACCGTCATGTGATCAGACTAAGTCGTTCGCATTGGTCAACGGCACTGTGTGGCGTGGCACAGCCGGTCGCACGATTTACACCCAAGCAGAAAGTGCGTCTAGCTCACTATGAAGCCGAGACCTCAGGTCGGCCGAGTGAACTAGGTCTCACCACCCTTTTGCCCCTCGATTCTAAGCAGATTGGAACCCATGGGCACTTATATAAAACACACATACAGATGCACCCCCCCCCCCCACACACACACACGCATGGACAAGACATAGCTCAAGCATAACACTGCAACCTTACGCAATGAACGTTTCGTCGACAATGTCCGTCTTCAGGTCGTTGCTGTGCAGCAGAATCTCCGGACACGACATGGCTCGACACACACTGGCACTGGGAGATGACAGGCAAAACAAACGGAAGATGTAAGATGTATAAATAAAAGAGGAAGCCCATCTTATCAGTGACACACAGATCTTGATCCGTTCTTGCATTATGAAAGACCTAGATGACCACACCGGAAAGTCCTGTCGGCCCTCTCCCAATATGGAAGAAAATTAAGACTGCCATAGAATGTTACGTCTTATACACACCGACATGAAATTCTGATAAAGAGGGAAGCATTTCTTGGTCCTCAAACATCTGTGATCAATGGCTGCTATTGTACAGTTGTGCTTGGTGACATCGGACCCAAAGTCCATCCTGTAAAGCGACAAACTTTCGCAGCGCGCAAATTTAGCGTTTTCATAGATTGGGCTGATTCATGATGAGAAACTTTTGCGATTCTATCTCTTCAGTCGGATCTTGTACTGTCTACAATCAATGTACGGAGAGGTTTGCGGCAATTTATATTCGCGAACGTGCGATGGTCGCGAAAATCGCGAAATTTAATCTCTAGCGAAAGTTTCCCTCTTTACAGTATTTGGCGCCCTCAACTTGCACGGCCGGCGACGCCCTGGAAGAGGTGCGAATGCGGCTAGTATGCACGTACACATGTACGACCACAGTGATGCAGTCAGAACTGGTCCAGGGCACCAGTACATGTACAGTTGCGGACATTGAAATCCGTTGAGAAGTCAAGCAGCCATGGGGGTGCTGGCTATGCAGCCGTGAGCACTGCTGCTCCATTGTTGCGGCGTGTACGTGAACTACAGTGGTGCGTGTACGCGCTAAGTCAGTAAGGGCGCCGGCCCCGGTCATTCCACCGCCGGACCGCATTTCAATATCCACAACAGTACATTGGGTCGGATCTACTATTTGAATAAAAAAAATTGGAGCTCAGTGAGAACGTTTTACGTCACAGGGTGGCGGAGGGCCCCCTCGTGCCAAATATGGAAAATTGCAATTGGTAATTTAGGTATGTTATCCTTGTCGTAGAAGCTTCCGGTTTTCGCCATTCTACCACTTACGACATACTCTAATGGATTCCGCAATAAAAAATGGGGGTGATTTTGGACCGGAGTTCCCCTTTAACCAAGCACAACTGTAGGTGGGCAAGCACTCCGCTCAAGCTGCTATTCTAGGTTCTGTACAAGCCATACAACGAAGTGCTAATTCTAACGAGTTAACGAGGAGAAATCTGTCGATAAAATAGAAATCGTTATACAGAAATCGATACATGTACTGTCCTATTGAGCGTTGAATCGATACATGTACTGTCCTATTGAGCGTTGAGAATGGGTGAGAATCGTCACCTTTGGAACACGTAAACCAGTCAATTTCGGGAAATCGTTATAATTATATGCGCCTCGTTTAGAATAATGGCTTTTAATACAGTAAATAGAAGTGCTCGGTTCCAGACCAGGGGCAAGGAGCTCAGCCGCGCGTGACTTACCGGCTAGGCCGCTCAAACTCGCCAAGAGACGTGGGAGCTGTCGCCGACGACAACTCACAGGAAGACATACCGGTGGCAGCGGCCGACAGGCTGCCCGGGTCGAGCGTGCCCATCGACCGATGGCGCAAGAACACGGACGCAACGCGTCCGCTGCCGCAGCGCTGGTCGTGCTCGGAGAGACTGAGCTCAACGGCGTCGCCGTCGGACTGTTCTGCGAGGGTGCAGGATAGCGTGGGCGACGATCTCCGGTTGAAGGCGATGTTCTTGAGCGACATCATGGACGTGATCGATTCCAGCGTGCTCAGCGAGCTCTGAGAGATGCTGGACGTTATCGAGTGACGCACGCTCGTGTCCTTGCTGTTGGTGGCGGAGCCGTGGAATACGCGTGGCATAATATGCTTCCTGCAGCAGGAACATGGGAAATCATTCACGAAAGACAACGCTGTGATAACAATAATAATTATGTATAGTGATACTGGGTACCGAAGAACAGGGAGGCACCGCTCCACGTCAGATATGAACTTATTTTCAAGATTCCAAAGTCTCTGCTCCTATTCTGCTTGTGGATGTACATAGTACTCGAGAAAGAGAGTGAGTGAGCACGTACGTGTGTGTGTGTCCGTGTGTGTGTGTGTGCGCGTGCGTGGGCGCACGTGTGTGTGTGTGTGTGTGTGATATATGTGTGTATGTATGTGTGTGTGTGTGTGTGTGTGTGTGTGTGTGTATCGGCACAGTCCCGGTACTTACCTCAAGCTCTTTCCTTTCAGCTTCACAGCATTCCACTTCATCAGGAGGCGGTCATCATTGATTGCATCTTCCAGCTCCTTCATAGCATATTTTTGTTTGGAAATTGTCGTGTCGGACACGCATCGCTTCACAGTGGGAGTAGGCAGCTCCAGCGATTTCTTCTTCGAATCTGTACCACTGGAATGGGTGTGAGAATAGGAATGTTATGCATAGTACATGCATGGTACACATAGGGACACCGACACACGCACACACACACACAGACACAGACACGCTCACACAGACACAAGATACAGACACACACACACACACACACACACACACACACACACACCAAAAGAGCACATGAAACCGTGCACTATAATATATTATAACATGCTCATGACACACATGCACCTGCAATGTAGCCCATTGCACCTGCACAAATACTTGTGATGCCACAAAAATACGCTGAAGAACTTTACGGGCTGTTGTTTTCGCCCATTGCATTGGTATACCTCCAAATGCGTACCATACGCTGTAAACATCCACCAACCCTGTGCAAGGTGTGATCATTCACAGTGATGGCCTGTACGCACCGATCCCGCACACCATCACCACGGTACTGGTATGGTACCTAACAAACTTGAAAGGGTATCTCGCAACACAGTAACACGAAGAGTCCCTTTTCCACGGCAACCTACGTGCACTCTCTTTGCTCTCTTCTTGTGCAAACTGCAGTAGTGTCACGTGCTGCAGAATTTGGAGTCCAAGAACATCCAGCCTGAAATACTAAGAACATCCAGCCTGAAATACATGATCCAGTACGAATTGTTTCTAAGAACGTGCTATAAGAACGCAGCCAGATTTGCTGAAAAATAAGAACGTCCCAGGCTAACCCCTTGGAAGCAACGTTCTTGGGCGCGCGGCTCTACTGTATACAGCACACTGGGCACACAATACACAGTTTAGACACAGGCTAAAGCAAATCATTATTCCACATGCAACATGCTACAAGATAGGTAAATGTGACTCAGACTTACACACGCTGGAAGAAGCGGTGAAGGTTCTTCATCTTCGCTTTCTTGGCCTTTTCGAGCGACGGACGACCACGGGCGATGTCATGCAGCACTGGCGAGGCGATGCCGTCGACGACTTTACTGCCCGCTGCCTTGGCCTTTGCCGAGGAGCTCCTGCTGTCGATGCCGCTGTCGTCGTCGCTGAAGTTACTGTGCGCACCACTGCTGCCGGGCCGACTGTTCCCGTCGGAGTTCTCATTAGCAGTTGTCGGGCTGGCCATGCCGACGCCTATGTCACTGAGATCACCACACAGGCCTGGAATCTCCAGACACGAGCCAGTGCCAGGGCCGCCAGTAGTCAGACTACAGCCAGACATAAGACAAGCAGAGGGTAGTATAGTATAGTAGAGAGAGAGAGAGAGAGAGAGAGAGAGAGAGAGAGAGAGAGAGAGAGAGAGAGAGAGAGAGAGAGAGAGAGAGAGAGAGAGAGAGAGAGAGAGAGAGAGAGAGAGAGAGAGAGAGAGAGAGAGAGAAAAAGAGAGAGAGATAGAGAGATAGATAGATAGATAGATAGAGAGAGAGAGAGAGAGAGAGAGAGAGAGAGAGAGAGAGAGAGAGAAAAAGAGAGAGAGATAGAGAGATAGATAGATAGATAGAGAGAGAGAGAGAGAGAGAGAGAGAGAGAGACACAAAGAGAGAGACAGACAGTGACAGACAGACAGACAGACACAGACAGACAGAGAGAGAGAGGTAGATAGATAGAGAGATAGAGAGAGACACACACCATGTACCAGACACACGCACTCACGCAAGCATGCGCGCACACGCGCACACACACACACACACACACACACACACACCATTGGACGCCCATCGCCAAAGGCGATGATAGCGATGATAGCGATGCTACAGCAGAAGCCATAGCAGCTTGTGCTGGGATTGCACCATTCAACAACTTGCAAGGCTGAAGAATTGACCGCCACTATTCAGCCTGGTCTACACCACACAGCTATGAAGAGGCTTTTCCTGGCCAGTGAATCCCTACTTTTTGGTCTTTTCATTTTTTCCCGCACACACATCACACCACATACTCCGGCATGCACTGGCTGTTGGTAACCACCCAGGAGAATGAAAGAAAAGTCAGGAGAAGTCTGAGAAAGATGTGTGTGACCATAATCGTCGGGAATCGAACACACAACCTCTCGGTTGGAAATCGCTGCACATACCACACGTACGCACGCACGCACACACACACACATTAATTCACATAGCCAGCAGTCACAGCGGTGTGTTATACGTACGCATTCAGCGCGCTCTCGACCAGCTCGGTGACGTGTTTAGACTGGTGCAGGAGTAGCTCAGGACATGACATTGCTCTGCAAAGTTCACCACTGTTAGAAGTTAGAACCACACACACAAGACCAGGCAACAGCAAACACTATCTCACTGATATGAAACTTCAGCACCATAGGGCTTGAAAGTGGTGTCAAAAGTCAACAAATAACTACAAACAAGGACTGAGCCAATTTGGATCAGAGTGTGGTGGAGGGGCTGGTCCCTCTGCTGCATGCAGGTGTGAATGGTTCTGCATAATAAACACTGCGAAAAAGTCCAGTCCATGCTCTGCTGCCAACATCCTAACTTCATAGTCTCACCGTCCTGCCAAGCCCGTAGGTGACCCCATCAATCCGCTGTCAGTGGGCAGTGCGTAGGAACGAGTGGGAACCATGGACATGGAGCGTTGCAGGCTGGACGGGAAGAACAGCTGCCCTGCCGCGCTGTCCATTGCTCCCTCGATGCTCAGCTGGCTGCCGCTCGCCGACACCCTGCACATGGCCGAGTGCGCCTTGCGAGGTGAGAGGGGACTCGTGAGTGCCAGGAATGCCCCCGCTGCTCCCTGCACTGGCGTGCCGGCGCTGCCGCCGGCGAGAGAGGCGCCAGTGGCCAGCTGGTCTAGCGAGTCGCTGGAGACCTTGCGCGGGAAGTGAAGGTGTTTTCTACCGGGAAAATTGCAATGCACAGACAGATCCAAAAGTTGAGAAGTCGGTCGACAACTGTATATACGTGACTGCTTGCCTGAGCAGGCCACTCAAATCGAATTCTGCACAATGTCATGTAATACCGCTGGCTTTGATCGGAATAAGGCTCAACCCCCCCCCCTCCCCCCCCAAAAACAGTCATTAGTTGAAGGGGTTGAATCTGGGTTTTGGTCTTTTGGACCTGCTTCTCCAAACATATTGCCAGGGTGTAACTGGTTTGTGAACCTGGCCAAATTGTCAACTCCCTATCCTTGACTTTTCCGGCCTCAAGTGTGGCAAATAGAATAGCTTGTGTCACTCAATGCAGGCTGCACAGTTATTGCCCATTGTATCTACTTCAGCACAACATGCAAGACACAATAACGAAGGGTGCTAGTTCGGAATGAACGGACTGTGTAGTCGAATGCATCACCTGTCGGATGAAGACTTACTTCAGGGACTTTCCCTTTAGCTTAACCAAGGACCACTTGAGGAGGAGACGTGCCTCGTCCGTAGCTTTCTCCATTTCCTTCATATCCTTTAGATGGATGCCAGAATGCAACGAGGTATCGGACGAACTGCGCTTCACATGCGCCGTCGGCATCTGAAGTTCTTTCTTCTTTGACTCCACCCTGCAGTTGGGAACAACGGTGTGCAGGCCACAACATTGACGGTGATGACGTTGACGGCAACGACAACAACAACAACAACACCCCCCCCCCCCCCCCCCCACACACACACTACACCAAGAGTATTACTAGGAATTTCCTAATGTGCCGACAGAAGTCTATTCTAGGCCATGTGTGGTTGGATTTTGGCATGAAAGTATGAAATACGCCTGTCAGAATGGTGGTCCGTGCTCTCGATTTCAGCTGGCGACACGTGCAATACTACATGCCAACGCTCCAGTCAGGCTGGGTTCATGGAGGGCTGAAACTCAATGTGAGTTGAAAACGCTCATGAAACCGAGCCGTTTTCTCCATATTTTGTATGAGGGAATTTTGATTTTAAATGCAGTGTACACAAAAACATACACTGATTCTGAGTTGGTGAAATTCCATGCTGCAGCAAAGTCGGACTCCGGGATTTCTCCAGTAGCGTCCCTTGTGCACAAGTCTACAAGTGCCCAGAATACGGCAACCATTAGAGAGGTTCCGGGCTACGTAAAGTGGAACTGCTTTATGTAAGTGGGCGGGAAAACCCCTGAATTCGCAAGTTTGCACTCCACGTACGGAAAGTTGTCTACGGAGAGTACGTAAAATCGTAAATGGAGCTCCACTAACGGAGGTAGTGCGTGAGTGGATTGGGGTAAAAGTGTATGACTCTCTCTCTCTCTCTCTCTCTCTCTCTCTCTCTCTCTCTCTCTCTCTCTCTCTCTCTCTCTCTCTCTCTCTCTCTCTCTCTCCGTCCGTCCGTCGGTCCGTCCGTCCGTCTCACTGTATCTGTCTCTCTCTCTCTGGGTCGTACACTTTCGAGTCCGGAGTTGTCATGGGTAGCCACGCAGTTCTATAAAATTCTGTATGGCGGAACACGGATTCACATGCAGTGTACGTAAGACTCTCCTTAGATCGGCTACGGTTTTACTATAAACGGAAGTACGTAGCGCGGAACCTCTCTTTTGTGACCAAAGCAGGAACATACACTCCTCTTTGCTTGCACTAAGTCCATAAATGGATGTACATTGCCGAGTAGGTGTATCTGTGTGCCATAAAAGGCCTTCTCAACACTACATACCTATAAATGTTTTCCCACATATGGAATTCACTCTAAATATGCGAGGAAGGGCGTTGATGAGAGTCACGTCAGCCCACCATGCGGCACACATTCGATCAAGACCATTTGCAAAAGCCAGAGTGTGCCAGTGAGCAGACCGACAACTGGGTTAAAGCACTGATTTCATTTGGAGATTAGGCTCGTGTTGCCGAGGGCACAACCGTTTAGTTTTAGTTGCTCCCGGGTGAACAAGTGCCCGCAAGAGGGTTGACGCGTTTGCAGAAAATCCAAAGTCAGCACGTGTGACATCTATTTCTTCTAAACTCTTCAAGACTACTGGTCCCTCATTATAACATCACAGGAGACCCTCCGGGAAAAAATGAATGCTCTATCGTTCTGATCACGCGCTATTATTTAATTGTGAATGTGCAAAAGCGTCAAATGCTGACACCGGAGGCAATGTCATTGTTGGTCTATCTACAGTATCTGAATACTAGTAGTCTACCGAGAGTAAATAAGCTCAAAAGAGTGTGCAACTCTGGCGAAAACTCACATCACGTGTTCAAAGTATGATTTGCACTACCGTAAAGTCGCGGATAAAAGCCGGGCTTATAAGCATATAAGCCGCTTTCTGCGTCAGGCTATAATGCAAACCAGGCTTGTATGCAAACCATGCTTATATGCACCACTGATATGCGTGACACGCGTACATCTACCACTGACTACCGGCGACAGTTTTACTATGCACCTTACATCGCGCATGCACTCTTGACCTACCCGATCCGCGCTTGCATAGAAGCCAGGCTTCTACGCGCGACAGGCTTATAATATGCATTTGGCGCGTTTGATTTTCAGGCTTCTATCCGCGATGTGCTTGTATGCAAACCCGGCTTTTATCCGCGACTTCACGGTATGTGTATCTGCCATGATCATCATGCTGAGGACTCGCATAAGCGGAGTGGGTTTCTGTCGGGGAGTGCTACTTTTTTTTAACTCTGTTGGTCGCTAAAGCAGGCAGAGAACCTACAACGGGAATGCCACGCCGGCGAACCCCATAGAAAGGGTATTAAGAGTTGCACACTCTTGGGAGTACTTTGAAGTACAGTACATCTAGCCAGCAAAGCAGGCAAGTACCAATGACGAGATTTTAAACATCACTTCCATTTGAATCGCAAAACCAAATAAACAACAACAACAACGACAACGACAACAACAACTTCACACTCTCAAGGTGAGAGCAACTTACTTTTTCATCACCTTGTCGACGGAGCGCGAGATGATCTCCTTCTTTTTCAAGATGGCCGACGAGATGGCGCTCACTGCCGCTGGCCCGCACAGGCCCGACGACGACGAGGTTGCCCCGGACGGCGTACACATGGGCTCTTCGAGGCTGGAGCCCAGTCCGACACGTGTGGTTGTAGTCAGGGAGGGGCGAGTGCCTCGACGACGAGCCATGGCCAGGTTAGCATTGCCCTGCCTAGGCGCAATGAAGAACCTGAACAACAACCATGACAAAGACACAGGAGATATACAGTCAACTTCGCTAATAACGACTGCGGATATAACGACAATTCGTGAATAACGACAGAGTTTCCGTGCCCAGAGCAAAGTCCCATCTATCTGTATTACATATAATGAGACGTCGGGTATAAGGACACTTCGCGAATAGGGATACTTTTCTGATGCCCCGCCGCCGAGTGTCGTTACACGCTAAGTTCACTGTACAGTATAGAGTAGATGCTGGTATAGTAAAGTCACACACTGAAGAACGTGGAGTCCAAGAACGCCCAGCCTGAAATACTAAGAACACCACAGCCTGAAGTTAAGAACGGCGGTGCTAGTTTTCTGGCAGCTTGTGGGACACATACGATCCAGTACGGATTGTTTCTAAGAACGCGTTATAAGAACGCAGCCAGATTGCTGAAACATAAGAACATCCCAGGCTAACCCCTGGAAAAAAGCGTTCTTTGGACGCGAGATTCTACTGTAGATCAGGCCGAACATGCAATAAGAAAGCCACTAGTGTGCCTGATAAGGCCGTTTGGACCATTTCCCTCCAAAACGCACATGGCACAAAAATGGCAATACTAGAGTAAAATAACAATAAGATCCCGGAGAGAGGGTGTTAGTGGCGGCATTACAGACATGGAAACGTAAAGAAGACAGGAGGAAAAACTGGGAACTGAATTTACTCCTCTGGTATCTTTCCAACCAATTGCAGGTCATTGTGACCTCTGACAGCTGGACAATGTAGAGATAGGCACCACTGGCATACAACTGCACTCGTTCCCATCCACCGTGCTCTGATTGGTCACGGACTGAAAGAATTTAGCTTTCAGTGAAGTGTTGCGAAAGCGCACTAAAACGGACCATGGCGATTTTGAACCGTCATTCTTGAGAACTTTCATTGCCCTCTCTTTCACACTTTGAAAGAAAAGAAAACAACTTTAGGCTCTTCACAAGCAACATTTTCGGGGTGAAATTCCACGAGTACTTTTCGATACTTTCTCACCAGGTGGAATACAGGCAAAAAGACCGTGAATGAGGACAGTGAATTTAATACAGCAAGGAGGTGAAAGGAACTGCGCAAAGAAGAGGAGCCAAAAGCAGCGCGGTAAAAAAATGCGTGGCCTCATGTGTGTGTATAGAAGGTATGACAAAAGGGTGCAAATGTGAGGACACCTAGCAAGAGCGCGAAATGTAGCGACGACAACGGACAAACAATGGACATACCGTAAGTAACGCGTTCTTGATGACATATACCGCAACTTCAGTGTGAATTTCATTGGCTTCTGTTTGCACAGGCCAGGCTTCTTTGTGTGAGTACAGTAAGGTCTGGCGCCGAAGAACGCAAGCCCCGTTTCTGAATCATTGAGCAATCTAGCACTATGGACATGTGATCAACTGGAATACTGTAAGAGTTGACAGTGTGACAAGTCTATAACGTTTAACGCAAACAGTTCCCCATTTAGCGGGCACAGCGTTTAACGAGCCTGCCATCTTCACCTGAACGGGGTTGGGTATCTTCCGCTCCAGTTCTAGAGTTCTCTACGATGCATACGCCACTCGACTACACGCGTATCGCCGGAAACCATTTCCGCTGATTTCCAAGTGGAAGCAGAATATCTCGATCACCCACTGGAATTTGGTGTGCACAATCTCGATTCCAAGTGTGCTTGCTCTAGGTTTGCAGTAAATGTGTGCAAAAGGCCGTATGCATACAATGCAAATGTACCGTAAAGTCTTGTATAAAAGCCACACTTGAATAGAAGCCGCAATTTTGGGCCCATCAAATCACACATAAGCCTGGTTTTAGTGTTGACATACATAGAAATACCTGTCTTGTATAGAAGCCTGTCTCATATAGAAGCCTGCAAAATTTCACCAAGAAAGTCGTAGAAGCCGCGGCTTTTATACAAGACTTTACGGTATGTGATATCTTTCAGGGGGTTCTTTGAGAATATCATGATTAGAACCCTGAATAGGTTCAAAAATGCGACTGCTGAGAATTTGCCAGTGTTTTTTGTTGTTGTTGGTGGTGGTGGTGGTGGTGATGGTGGTGCGTCTTTTGCCATGTTCATAGCTGTTGTCAGGGGCGGATCCAGGGGGGGGGGGGGGGGGGTCGGGGGATTCAAACGAACCCCCTGATTTTTTCCGACCATAGTTCGGGTGTGACCACGAACCCATGGCCCTGCGACGTGCTCGCCCCATGCTATGGCCTGCAGGCCAGAGACGTCCGCTAGCTATGCAGCTTGGTAGATCTATATTATGACATACAAAATTATGGACAATTATTACAGACAAGCTGCTGGAATCGGAAAGTACCAATCAGCTATTCTGCTGTAAAGAAATTGAAAATTTCTTCCTTGTGCTGCGTGTCTTCAATAATGTTTTAGCTGCAGAGTGTTGAAAACAGGGGTACTGAAGTTACATTTGTATAGCAGCTGGCATGCTCAAGTATTATTTGGTACCGATAACGCGAACGTGTGAACTTGTTATACAATCATGTACATGTGTATGTCATCATTTCGTCATTGTGGGTAGGGTGGGAAAAATTGAACCCCCCTTGGAAAAATCCTGGATCCGCCCCTGATTGTCATGCGTACACTCCACACCAGTGCGAGGCCAGTCTCGAGGCAGGGCACCGTTGTCTTCGATCCGAGAGTACCCGCGACTCCCGGGTTCCTCTCAGATGTGTACGGTATTACGACGCAAAGATCCGATTATGCTCGACCAAGACCCTATTCAGAGCTGGATCAGGCGTTGCACACTCTGGGGGGGGGGGGGTTATCTACTCTTGCTCTTATCTGTTCATTGCATCCCCGGAAATTAAATAAATAGTTGTGCGTCAACTTACTTGAATTGTTCATCACTGCCATCATCCTGTGAGGAGAATACAAACGAAGAGCAAATGCAATTGGAAATGCAATTATTGCAGTACAGGCCAGTCAAAATTGTCCACTGTCACCCAAGGTAGAAGCTCATCGGACACGTACACACTAGAACTTTAGATGTCACATTATTGAAATCAATCGAAAAATAAATACAACATACCGTATATTCTCTATTATAAGCGCCGTGCTTCTATTTTTTCAACACCCCTCTACCCCGTGCTTATATTGGAGACCGCGCTTATATTGGAGACCGTGCTTATATTTTTTCAACCAATACATCCATACAGAGCAAGAAGAAATACATGCTAGATATCATGCATGCAGCATTGATTTCCACCAGGACCGTGCTAATAATAGAGACTGTGCTTATAATGTTTCGAAAGGGGCTCACAGTGTGCTAGTATTAGAGACTGTGCTAGTAATGGAGACCTGTGCTTATAATAGAGAATATACGGTAATTATAACTCTCACCGGAGATAAAGTGGATAGAGTTGGTGTCAGGCCTTTCTTCTTTTGGCTTGTTTCCTTCGCTTTCTCCTTCTCCTTGTTCAGGCTTCTGCCTACTAGTGCCACCAAGGCTACCAGCACGGCGCAAACGAGGAGCAGAGCAAGCATGCTTGGCTCCTTTTCACCTCTTAGTCCTGATCCTCACGGTCAGAGGACCGAGATCTGGTGCTGAAACCACACTGCCCGCTTTCATGCCAAACCCGCTGGCAAATAACTAACTTGTGTGACAGTGCTTCAAGGCCGCACTATCCTCATCATTTTCATTTTCGGTCCTTCACTGCCTACTTTCGTGCCAGCTCTTTTGCCAGCAATAAACTGGCGAGCTTCACTCGCTCTTCCAGCAAGTTTTCTTCAAGGCTTATCGAACGTGGAAGAACCAACCACAAAATCTACGCAAATGGATACTTTTCGTTTCTTTCCCTGCCCAGTCACTCGGGGCCGGCGCTGCGTGCGTGCAACGCCATGCAAAATAATAATAAATACAAGTCGAGGGCGCAACGTTACGTTGCAACCAGGGAGTAGTATTGTACTCCCTGGTTACAACGGCGGTACGCGGTACGCCAAGGCTGAACCGGATTTGGGGAATTGGAGGCATTTGCAGCCCTGCCCCTGACCCTCCTGTTCTGACCTGTTATGTACTACCTATCGCGACCAGGGAGTAGTACAATGACTTGTACAACTCCGTGCTATCGACTACTTGTATTGTATACGTGTAGGCGCAAGGCCTGAGCCCGACATGCAACAGTATACTCTACACATACATTGTTGTACATGGATGTGCCAATTTGTGGGACGGCCCTGCACAGGCTAGGCTGCTGCATCAGGGAATCGTACCCCAAACCATTTTGGGTAAGACCAAGACTTTTTTACTCCAGACCTTATTATCACTCTTGGTACGACCAAGAGGTTATAATTATAATAAATATATGCGACTCACTGCTGCATGTCCATGCACTTATAAGCTATACTATCTTCTGCGCAAGTCCCAAAAAGAGTACACCGCCAATAGAGAGTCCGGCAATGCTCACCCCACACACGCAAGAAAGAAATTACTGGTAGCAGTAACCATCAGCCCATCATCAGTGCCTCAGAACCTGTCAGAAAATCATCGTGGAACCATCATGTAACGTAACGGTAACATAACAACAATTGAGATAACTGCCGACGTAAGAATTCAGCCAGAACACCTGAATGGAAATCCAATTTAAAGTAAGAAGACCAACACGTTCTTGAGCGCCGAGTCGGATTAGACCAAAATAATGCGTAAAACAAGCACCGACATGTCGATTGCCTGATTTCAAGTAAAGTTAAAAAAATAATGGTCATTGGCTGAAACCGTGCACGGCTGAGACGCCCAAAATAAACGACCGGATTGTAAGCGAAAGCTCGATGAGTACTCAAAATAGATATAGCGGCACGGATAGCGTGGCGTAAACCGTCAGCAATGGAAACCTGCTGACCAATCACAGTCACTGTCCCAGTGTGGTCGATGGGCATAGAGTAGCCAGTACACCATGGGCCAATGGAGTCAGTTCCTTATTATATAAGGCACCTATAGTTGAGCAATACCAGTCGCGTGGCGTACACGCATACATGGAGAAGAGTAACCACACTCACGTGACTGGGCCAGGTCTCAGCATATAGCTTTCCGGAGGATAAGTCGCTGAGCTGTGGCAGATGGACGCTATCGTCTGTCGCAGCGCAGCTACAGTGTGCGCGTGCACGGGTGCAACACCCCCGGCGAGTCAGAGTTGCCACTGCCGGGCGAGACGGCAATACGACACAGAGCTGCTGCGTACACACTCCTGCGTGGCGTGTGCCAGTGCACTTGGCGAGGAGTTGACCGTCCACTCCGGAGCGAAAGCCGCACTGTGCTGGTCGCTCGGCAAATTCTCGCCGACATGCGAGCGCTGTCGTACGCAGCGTGATTCGGGCGGTCCTCGGGCTACTACTGTACATAGTCAGCCAGCCCTAGCTAGGCGGGTGGCGAGAGCAGGCTGCATGCGTACACATGGGCTACAGTATCATGCGAGAAAGAAAAAGTAAACGTCAGCATGCCCAAAGATAATGTTGTCGGGCAACCCACTAAACTACATGATTGTGTAAGCCATCATAATCATGCCAGGAGAATAAAACAAACGGACGAGACATAGTGCCACATCAAGCCCACACTAGAGTGGGTGTGTGTGTATATATACAAGATATATGTATATAATATTATTAAAAGTGTGTTCGTGTGTGCGTACATGTGTGTACGTGCGTACCTATAACAAGACATCTCAAGTGCAGCTTTGCCGCTACAGTAAGCACAAGACGAGTGAAAGACGACTGTCAGCGCAGATAGCTGATAGCAGGCAACAGAAACGGTATGGGCGATGGGCCGCCAGCAACAAGAACGGCGGCATGAGTACCTCGGCGGAAAGAATCGCTGCACCGCTGCCACTGACATCCCCTCTTCTGCAATCGTGGCGCACAGCTCTGAGATAGCGGGAGTGGGCCAGGTGCAAAGACGGTTCAGATGCGCGGTGTCCTGCCACAGTCAGGCCAGGCATCCATACTTGCAACATCGCCATCACATACAATACCGTCACATGATAGGAGCAAGGATGATTCAGGTGTGCCATGTCCTTGTAACAGCTGGCCCAGGCATCCACAAAGCTGCAGCATCACCATCACATAGAGTCGGAGCGCCACCAGGATCTGCTCAGGAAGCATGTCCACCATGCTCTGTTCAGGAGGCATGTCCACCATGCTCTGTTCAGGAGGCATGTCCACCATGCTCTGTGATGACAACACCGCACAGAAGCAAGCTGTGTACGGTGCATGCAGCTGTGGTTTGGGACATGCATATCATGTGCTCGTGCTCTAGCGAAGCCCTAACACAGCTGCTAGCCGAGTAGTAGAGCAAGATCGACACATACCAACCGGAGGAGGCACAGCCCTGCTTTGGGACACGCATGTGCTGGTGCTCTAGCATAGCTCGAATCAGCTGCTAGCCGAGTAGTAGAGCAAGGTCGACACAAACCAAGCAGAGGCACGGCCCTGCTTTGGGACACGCTTGTGCTGCTGCTCTAGCGCAGCTCTAACACAGCTGCTAGTCGTATAGTACAGCAAGGTCGGCACAAACCAAGCGGACGCACAGCCTCGCCATGGTCACACAGCAATGGCAAGAGAAAGGGCGTGCCACGGCGAGCGTGGCCTTCCACAGAGGGGACAGCGAGCAAAGATTATTCTCAACGACACCGATAATTCACCACGAGGCGAAGTAATATAACCGTGTCCACAGCTGACGTGTTAGACAAACATCACTATTATCCTGCCAGTGGTCACGCTACGTACGCGAGGACATGTAACCATGGCGACGGGTAAGCTCTTAGTGACACGGAACTGAGCGAGAGACTGGATTCCAACGCATTGCGCAGTAGCAGCGAGGACGTAACACAGCTGCTAGCCTTAAACCGATAGGCTGGACAGGTCAAGGACGTCGGTCGGATACTAGTAAGGCCAGAACAGGAAACCAGCCTGCTGCGGCACATCGAGCACTGAGGAGAAGGTAAATTACTCAACAGAAGCGACTCAAACCCAGACACAGGACAGCAGAGGAGTAGACGAGAGAACACACACCCATCCAAACGGGCAGCGAGCGCGACTTGCGGCCAGCTCAGCTATTGCTCGGATGGTAGTAGTCGTGGAAGACGTGCTCGTCCTTCACAATGGCCACCGCCTTGTAGGTGTGCAGCAGCAGCTGTGGGAAGAGGTTGGTGAAGTAAGCGATGAAACCCTCCGGCATCGCACCCAGTTTCTCGCGTAGCAACTCGTTCAGCTCGTGGTAGTGGTGCTTCTGCTCAAGAGAATGAGACAAAAAGTACGACAATGCAGCAGCCACGACAGCAACAGCAGCAGCAGCAGCAGCAGCAGCAGCAGCAGCAAGAGCAATGCCGGCAGCAGGGAAAACATGAAAACACACACACACACACATTAACAATCCATGCAAAACAGCATCACAAAGAGAAACAAGACTAGCACAGGTGTATGCAAGAGACAAACATTCACCACAATTCACAAACGCCTTCGCTGAAGGTGACATCCTAGCAATGGAAAGAATGGCGGTACATGCATTGATGAATCAGTCCTGTGTAGCTTCCATTTACAATAATGGAAACGTCATAGTGAATACCGCCATGCTGGTGTGAAAAATGCAGCCAACCAGCTTGCTCTGTGGGCGTAGAATAAATTCAGCGATGTTGCCATCACATGGGTATGCATACGCCGCCAGCACGCTCACCTTGTTACGAATGAAGCGGATTAGGTTGCGCACGGAGCCACCCTGGTAGGAGCGATGGCGTGTCAACTCTGCAAGCACCAACACACCGCCAACATTGTCAATACAAGAGGACACACCAGTGCAGCGTACACAGGATGAATGAAAAACATACGCAAAGAGCAACTGTTACACTTCATGAACACACATAAAAATCGGGCCAGTATGCCAGAAGGCCTGGACTGGCGATACACAAAGCAGACCCGTGTTGCGATGATCGCGAGGGTCAGGCAATGAGGACATGACAGCGAACACTCGTCAACTCTCACCTTCTCTGAACTCTTCACCGAGCTGCTGCCGCCAGTCGTCGCTCACCACCTTGACGGCGTTCTGCTCCAGCTGTTGCACAATGGGAGACGTTGCCAGCTCCTTCTCAATGCGATCGCTTACCTCCTATGAGAGGTACACACCAAAGCAAACCAACACAGCAGAAAAACCATGAAATTCACAACCAAGGTACGTAGACACATTTTCCCTGCCATATTTTCGAAAAGTATTGTTCACCATGTCGCACCAGTGATGTCATACTCCATGATCGCACATACAGCAGGCTTCAGATAGGAGTGTTAATAGGAAATCTGTTACATCTAGGACCAAGTCACACCCCAAGTCCAACATAGTCATTACTGTCATTCGGCATGTACACGTACACACCCACAAGTAAGTGACACACATTACACCAGCAGGAATGTACAAGTCAGTGAAGAAAACCCAACCCGGATGAAGAGCAGAAGTTTAGTATTCATCAGAATAGCATGTTTGCTTACACAGGTACACAAACAGAAACACACCCAGGCACTCGCACACACACACACACACTCTCTCGCACGCACACATGCACACACCTGAATAAACTGCATCTGCCGGCGCCTGGACCAGAAGACGGGGTGCAACAGGGCTTCCTTGGCTGGTGGTCTGAATTTAACACGGGACAAACAACAACACAAACACAAAAGACTGCATTGATCACCACAGTCATGGCTCACAAATGCCTACTACTATACGTGATTGTGTATTAAGGACTCGCAGTATGTTGTGAGCACACAATTATGCAACTTGCACAATTTATCCACTGCCGTACGGTAAAACGATGCGGAAAGTGTGGAATTTACTGCTACTGTGAGCACGCAAGGATGAGAGCAGGTCAAGGGGAGGTAGGGGCAGAGATACCGATGTTGTGATGTTGAAATGCTGCAGCAAAACAATCTGGGAAAGCAGGTGAGCGGGAGGACCCATGCTTGCCCAACCCACCTACAACCTGCGTGAACACAAGCTACATGTATGTTTTGACGCTTGACTGCAGATCCACACAACTCTTTCAGATGGACAGCATGAACTGAGCCCCAGCATACACAGGCGTGCTGCAGGAAATGTAACCCTCTGCAACGCTGCAGTGTTATTCTTACCTGACACCAGGGTAGCGGCTGATCATTCTTGATACCAGGTCGCGAGCCAACACCAGATCTGATAGGAACAACACACGTACGTGCACACAGATAGGCTTGCATTAGATTTCAACTTAGAACAATGGTGGAGAGCAATGACGCAGGAATGGAGAGCAAATAGAAAGTACGACAGCAGATCAACAGATGACAACTAGCTGCAATTGATTTAGCTTACCATCGCACGACAAGCAGCTCTCCAGTGCAGAGAAGTCGGGTGCTTTCTCCGTGCTGATATTCATTTGACGCTCAAGTGCTGGCCCAAACGGATGCTGTCCTTTGCTCAAAACGTAGTAGATGAGGCAGCCGGATGAGAAGATGTCCACCGAGCAGGTCTGCACATCACGTATGCGTGGCATGGTGACAGGGCACACACAACACCACCAGCACATAACACCGCCAGCACATAACACCACCAACAAGAACAGAACAGGCAAGTGTAAGGCATTGGACTGCACGGAAGCAAGGCAGAAGATAAAGCGTGGAGCACACGGTACTGAGAGCTGCAAGCACACTCAAACATTGTAGATGAGGTCTAACAAAAGGGGCTACATGGACGGCACAATCGTATATGACTGGCATGGGGTGAGTGACGGAATCGTAAATGCTTTGCGTGAGGTGAATGATATCATCGTATTCAGCTTTGCCCCGAGAAGATAACCAGTGCCTGAGATGCCTCTCCATACAAAACACCCCACAGGGGCGTCGGACACGGTACGGTCACTACGGTATTGACCGTACCACTATTTGACCCAAGTACCCCGTGAATCAATAAAATGCACTGATTTGGGCTCTAATTTCCCCAAAAATTTCGGCTCAGCCACCCCCCCCCCCCCCACACGAGTGAATTGTACTTCAGATGGCTGACCGTACCACACTAAATCACCTTCTGACGCCCCTGCCCCATGATGTAATCACATACCCACTGTATGCCCACAGCTTACCGCAGACTCGGTGAGGCCGGACATGAGCTCCGGCGCTATCCAACCCTCCGTGCCGGTCACACCGGACCGAGCAGTGAACGACGAGCGGCCGTCCGCCAGCTTCTTGCACAGGCCAAAGTCGGAGAGCAGTGTGCGCACCTGGCCGTTGTGTTTCGGGTACGATATCAGCACATTCTGCGGCTTGATGTCTCGATGAACTGGGCACACAAAAAAGTGAAGTGAAGATAAACATGAATACTAGTACAAGCAGAGGAGCTTTAGAGGCGATTTACCGGACGCCAGTGCATCCCGCCGGGAAGTGAAGCACGTGATCCCGAGAGTGTGCCGTGATACGGGGAAAAACGAATATCAATTCACACGACAGGATGCACGTACAGTAACGGTAGTACAAAACAGTCGATGGAATGCCACAGGATACATCCCCCCCCCCCCCCCCCCCACGGCACCTGGACCATACCGGGATAGCTCACGGGATATGTTCGGGCCAAAATATGAGTACATGTGACTGAATCTCCATGGCAGCATCACTCACGTGATGAATCCTGCCGTCGTGTAAATCGCCTCTAAGGGAATACCTGGTAGACACTTTCAGAATTCTATCAAATGTGGCCTGGCACGAGGGGAAACCTGCATGCAGCGGATGGGATTTTCGGTCTTTTGACCATTTTGGTGGTGGCTTTGATACACTCACCTCCCACCACTTTAGGAGCTGCATCTACAGCTTGATCCCTGAGGGTGGTGGCGTTCCTGTGGATGCGGAAAATCCAGTCCGAGTCTCACGCGAGCCCACTAAAAAATCTCATGAAGGATGAAGTCAAACGAAATCTAGAAATCTAGCGGCATGCCGCATTTCCCCGATAATAAGTCGCACCCCCCTTTTCAGGTTTGAGCAATATTGCTTCGATATATTGACTTCAGTAGTAAGTCATGCTCGATTATAAGTCGCACCCCCGTTTTTACCCTGGGATTTCAGTGTAAAAGGTGCGACTTATATCCGGGGAAATACGGTAAATAGATTCATACAACATTCCACACAGGCACAGTGTACGCCAATCACTCCATTTCTCCGGCCATCCGCGTATCCCGTTCTCTCCAAGCCGTCTCTTAACCCTTTCACTGCCAGCTGACCACTCAAGGTGACAAGGCGCTCCCTGCCAGGCTGTCAGCTGAGCTGTACACCCCCTCGCTGCCAGGCACTTTTTACCTCCAGCTCGAAAAATCGAAAGGCCTACTTTTCCTGGATTTTTTGGTACTTTCTGTACGGAATATCGCTTTCCAAAGTATACATCGTAGGTAGACAACTCACAAAGGAAGCCATTGCCGTCGAAAAAAATCGCAGAATCCGAAGTACAAACGTGCTGCGCGATCTAGCGCCAGCCGCTGTGCAAAAATGCGTGTCATGTCATGCGAAAGTGCGCCGTGCGCCGCATGCGCTACATACACTATGTACACGATCGGCCCGGACACTCGCGAAGTAAAGTTAGTTAGTTGTTGTTTTGGAGAGAGAAGCAGATTTTTTTTTTTTTTTTTTTTTTTTTTTTTTT